TTAGTTCAATAAAAATCGTGTAATAATAGATAAAAGGATATTTTATTGGCCCAAACACGTTTTAACTTAAATCATTACAAATGTGAACCAATTTTAACCAATTTCCTATTTAATTGTCAAATTATAGAGTTGGTCTACTTTAGATGCCAGTCCACATTTAGTGACTTTCTTATATCTTCATTCAATTTTATGTTACACTCATTTTAACAGGGCAGGATTTATTCATCGTAGGTCATAAATACAAATTGAAAAACAGTTTATTTGTAAACCATCTCTTTTATAAGTCTCACCAAAGTTCAGGTTATGACATATTTACTTTTTAAAAATGGTAATGTAACAAGCGTCTCTAGGAGTCTTAATTTTTCTTCAAAGGAATGTATTAACTATAAAGCCTATACAATACATTATTTAGCTATACATGTAGAGATATCATTTAAATTTGGACTCCAGGCTTCATAATATCTTAATATGGACTAATCCATTTTTAAACTTCAACTTTCATTTTGAACATTTTTTGAAATTATTTAAATTTCAACATTCATTTTAAATAAAGGTTTTCAACAATTTATATGTGCCTATCCCATTAATTTGCACAGTAAAATTAATAAAATCTATACGGCTTAAGAAAAAAACCAAAAAAGTGTTACCTCTGCAATTAAAATGATTTACATAATTATCAAGGTATACCTCTACAGGATATCTAATACTATATTCAAGAGGTCATCGAACTATTAATATACATATTACAACAAATATATATATATATTGTTTTTTTCGAAAATTGATATGATCCTATAAAATGTATTTTTGTTTTATTTATTAATCACACATTTAACTCAATTGATGTCTAAAGAGGAATTAAATCAATTTTTTTTAAAACTTATAATTATTATTATTATATAACAAAATATAACTTATTCTTGTATGGTGTAGTTTTGAAAACTAAAATATTTAAATCATTTTTAATCATACAATTTACTTACTTGGATGGCATTTCAAAATTGGTTGGTAGCGCGCAAAAAGCCATTTGGACTATTGCAAAAATGCATATTATGACAATTGGAGACTTGGACACCTAAAATTAAATATAAGATACATTGTAATGGTATGACTTTAAAACACAAATACAAAATATTTACCATTTTATAAAGTACTAAGTATAAATGAACGCAAAAAGATGAGTTAAAATTGATGTCGTTTATGACAATGTTTGCATTTTGGTCATTCCGTGTGTTTATATCAGTATAGAAACAATATGCGGATGTCACGTAAAAGGAAGAAAACAAATAAGTGAAAACTTTTAATAATTTCTATAGGAACGCCGTTCAAACGTATGTTGCGAATCTATTGTCGGAGGCTGTTGATGAGTAACCATTTGAAACCAGACCGATAGCACAAATGTAATAAAAATATTGCATTACTATTATTTAACATATAATTATTATAAACGTTTAAAATTAATACTTAAGTTGCGATTTAATAGTTATGAACGTAAGCATACCATTCTTATTCTTTGGACAAAACACGTAATTCATGTGTTCCGTACTTATTGTATTATGTTAATGATGTTATTGTTATAGTAATTGTTTTGTTAGTGTCTGGTTAACGGACTGTATATAGCGTAATATATTGAAAGTGTCATATTTTTTCCGGTCTTCAGTCTGTATGTTAATTACAATCCAAGTTCCTAGAAAAAAAGATTAACGATCGTTAAAGTTTTTTCATATTATATTTAAAATATTAACTAGACACTGA